TTTAAATTATCAAGTAGAACGATAAAGTAACGTATGAAATATATTTGTAATTCTAAATATTAAAATAATAATTATTGTCCGTGAAGATCGCCATCATTAAAGTGATTATTTAATATCTTGGATTCCTATCATTTAATCGATTCTCAATTAAATTGTATATTGTTTAATTAACAAGGAGAAAATTTAAAGCATCATTTTTCATTGATCGAAATATATTTAATTGTAATATTGTTAAAAAAATAATATAATAAGTATCGATGATCGGAAGATTATATTTAATTCTCGTATCCCCTTTTATATATCCTCTTTCCAATTTTTAATCGCGGTAGTGAATGATTGCGATTTGATAAAGATTTCGAGCGTTGCTATACTGTTTCATGTCGCTAATTAATTTTTAGTTAAGTAATTTTTATTAAAATTTATAGTAAATTATGTTTCCATACTAATTGTCATCAAGTTTAGTAAAAAAATTATAGTATACAAAGCGTTTCTTACCACTACTTTATTACTCGAGAGTCACAGTACGATTGATGACAAAGCGGCACCGTATAGCGCGCTACTGTTTATATTTTACATTGCCAAAATCCAACATCGTGTTATCGATAATTCGTTACCAAAATATTTTATATATTATAAAATATACATTAACGTGAAATATTAAATTATAGAAGCATTTTAAGTTATGGATCAAAATTGATTATTTATTAAACAATTTGTCACGGGGCCTTTCGTTATGCTAATTATTTGCATATATTATTCGATTGTTTTACTTCATGTTACTTCATTTTACTCCGTACGTTCCAAACATCCTTTCTTCTCTTATGTATCTTTCGTTATTTCTCTTTGTGGCATTCACTCACTCAGGATTTAATTATAATTAATCAAATACGTAGCGCACTTTGCACGAGACTCTCAATAATCATACAAAATAATCATACGAAACTTATATACGCACTTAAATGATAAAAGAGCAACACGAGATTAAAATCATTCGCTACTTGCTACAGCAATGCGTATGCTACTGATACGCATATTATATGCTGTATAATATACGAATTATAAGAATGAAAATATTAAAATAATAAATAAAGTTGTGATAGCAGTCATTTAATTAATAATTAATTTATGTTCACATTTCAGAAAAATTTGAAGTTTAATTGTTTGATTGTAACGCAAAATATTAAATTGTAGAAGTTTTTATATTTATAGATTAATTAAATGATTATTTATTATTTAAACAATTAATTAATATACGAAACGTTTCGTATCATTATTTATTGCTTGAATATCACCGAGCAAATGATAGTAAAACTGTAATATATAAACAATGGACTACTGTTGCCAAAGTCATGATTTTATTGATAATTCGTTGTCGAAATATTTTATGTACTATAAAATACACACGCGTAGAATATTGAATTATAGAAGTATTTTAATTAATTGATTAAAATTGATTATTTATTAAACAATTTATTCATTATGGAATCCTTTATGCATAAAATATTTAAATATATTATTGTAAAGCAGTTTATGAAATATTACTATCTATGTAAAAGTGTTAAATAATATAAGAATATTTTATTATAGATATTTTAAGTATATTAAAATAAGATAATCCAGAATATTTTATATATATGTTATATTAATATAATTTAAAAACTTAAATAATTTAGATAATTTACAATGAGAGAGAGAGAGAGAGGGAGAGGGAGAGGGAAAGAGAGAGAATCGTTATTGAGAAAACATGCAATATATAATATGATCTGAATATAAATGACATATATATATATATATATATATATATATATATATATATAATCTGAATATAAATGATAAATATGAATGATAAATAATTTATAAACTGTTTACCGGATAATGTTGCTTAGTACGTGGCCCAGTGCTTTTTAGACTTGCTTTTCCTCTCCTTCGCTATTTTTTCGTTGCTCTCACTTTCACTCTTGAAAACAAGATTAATTAAGATTAGTTAATTAATATTAGTACACGCAAAAATCGCGAGACATTTTGCACGGCATTCCCGATCGCGTAGTAATTACAATTAAAAGTTTAGCAAGTACTAATTATAATTATCATAGCGAATTATGTATATTTTAATATTAGTCATAATTGTGTTTTATCGTTAGAGAAAAAATTTAATATTATACGAAGTATTTCGCACCTTACTCTTCGAATGTTGCCGTGTGAATGATATCAAGACCGTACCGTATGTAAACACAGCGCGTCATACGCCGCCAAGGCCTACCGTGTTATTATCCATTCACTGCTGATATATTTTACGTATTTTAACATATACACGAAATGTTAAAGTGTCTAAAAGTTTTAGGTTACATGGATTAATTAAATAATATTTGTTAATTTGTTAAATGTTAAAGTGTCTAAAAGTTTTAAGTTACATGGATTAATTAAATAATATTTGTTAATTTGATGTATCGCAAATCTTTTTATTATGTTAATTATTTTGATTTATGATTCGATTGTTTTGCTGTGCGTTTTGATTCTAAATTAAATAATTAAATTTTAAATAATTGAAAAATAGAACGAGATAAAGCGTGGCGGGAATTATATTTTATTCTATAAATATTATTAAAGTAATAATTGTTCATAAACAATATGGACCACAAATGTTTATCAAAATATCTTCGTGTATCATCATGTGTGTGATAATAATTATGTCGCGCGCGTATCTATTGATAGTTTTGATTATCATATTATAAAAATTACGTATATTTCTCGTAATCGAATATTTCTATTATTATCGATTTATTTATTCGCGTTTTTTCGCGAATTTTAAATCGCGATTTATTTTGTAATTTAATTGTTGATTTACATTGAAGCTTATTTTATTTTTTCGTATTTTGAATATTTTCTTTGATAATCTACACAAAATGCGCTAGTAATGCAAATATTTTCTTCTACAATCGAAGAAATGATCAATAATTTTATTAATGACTCTTTTAATCACGATTATATATATTTACGTTACATAAAACTTATTAAATTCTATTATTGCATATCGATTATTAATGATAAATGTTGCATAATTAATCATCGCTAATCGGGCTTGTCTCTGGACTATATCAAAATTTTTAGTAAATTTTATATTATTCGTATATTTTAGAGACATTTTCGTGTATTAAATTATTCCATGTAATAAATAAAAATTATTTTGTACTAAGTTTCAAATTATATTTTACATTCACTTTTGTATTAAACCATGTATTGAAAGAAAATAAAAATAAAATTTAAAAAAAATTTTTTCCTCGTATCTCCACCTTACAGAGGCATTTGCCGGATGAGGTTTGAGTACTCTAGTTGAGTAGTCTAATGAGTACTCTAATGAACCTAAGAGCTATGCCGGCAGTAACGTATAATACGCCGATATTCATATATGTAGACTATTTTTATATTTAAAATAATCTTAAATATGATCTTAGATCGCGTCTTGAGATTCCAATCAGTTAGTAAAATAGTTGTATTTTCCAACTTACTTAAGACGATCTTAAATATAAGAATGAATTATGAATGCCGGCCTTAGATAGGGTTACCTATACCAGACAAGTCGAAGGGAAAGTGTCAGACTAAGAAAGATATCAAAATTATATATATATATATATATATATATATATATATATTATTTTTAATTATATTAATATTCTTGAATAAAATGAAAGAAAAAGAGACAGTAATTGAGAAAATAGAAAAAAGACAACTACAGTGATTTGAATATCTCAAACCCTTTCTCCTCCTCTTTCTCTCTTTCTCTCTCTCTCTCTCTGAGTGATTTGAATATCTATACTCGAGAGAACAAATGTCCATAGAAAATATTTCGATGGACTCCATAGGAAGGAATGACAAATGAAGATAATTTTTATAATTTTAACACAAAGGAATACAATAAACCATAATAATCCAGGAACTCGAAGAAGAGAATATATTGGATAGAAATGCATAATGATTGAAAATAATTAGAAACTAAAAGACAGTGTGCAATCTATTAATTAATAATAATACTATTTTGTAATTATATTAAATTTTATAATTTAGTACATTATATTATATAAAATATTAAGCATAAAAATATTATGCTGGTAAGAAAATTATAATAAAAGTATACAAATAATGTTGACTATATTAGAATAGAACATATGAATTCTTTATATTTTATATAAAGGAAGAGATATTTAAAATATTTTGCAACTATATTTTTCGAATCTTAATTATAAAAACTTTAGAACAATCAGTGATTAATTTGACAAATTCTATACATGTATTAATAATTAAATAAGTAATAAATAAATAAGTAAATAATTAATAATATAATAACTTTTTTAAATAATTAAAAAAGTGATTAATAAATATCAAAGATCAGTTTAATTAATATTTATAGAAATAACGGTTAAAAATGTTTTTATTCCACAGCAGGCATTTTGTGTTTTGTAAATAAAAATATATAAACATGGCAATGAATATAGAAAAATATTTATTTCATCTTTGAACATTACATTGGAAGATTACAGTATCTTTTATGATTGCATAATTTATTTACTATCAATTTATATACATGAGTGTCTTGTTATATCTGGTGTTACTGACATTTCGTGCACATAGCACGGAACGAAACCAGAAATTGTGCACATGATACCCTCTGAGAACATTCATGGACATTGGCTTTGTAGTTCATGTCCACGTTTTCAATGTCCATAGAGGGAATATCGCTTTCAGGGATCACCTAAAAGCAGGCCATGACATCTCTCAGTTTTCTCTCTGCTACATATCATATACATCGGCTGCGGTCGGCGAGATGCTTTGGATGCTTTAAAGCGGTTGATTGACCAATCAGGTTAAAGAAATTTTTACTCCTTTTATGCTGATTAGTCAATCAAACGCTTCAAAGCATCCAGAGCATCTCCCCGACCGTAATCATCATACATATGAGATATTATGATCATTTGATAACATGTGTGTGCATGTGCGTGTATGTGTGTGCGGTGCAAAAATTTAACAATTATGTCATTTTTTCTATATCTCTCACATCATAAAATAATTTCTACTTAAGTAAGATAATTCCTCCCCCGTGAGTTTGTATTTTTTTATACAATGCTTTGTTTACAGTGATTTTCCCTTATTACTTTCTATAATACAAATGTATTTGGAAATCTCGAACCAGACGCTCGTATGCGCGAGGTTCTTCGCGATATACGATTTCGAATTCGAATATATTTTCGAATGTGTATTTTTTTTATTTTTTTTACAAATATGCCATCATAGGAAAAACTTAATTTATTGGTACGTCGATCTTGTCTCGAATTACTGCTCGTAATATTGCTAGTCTTATTATTATAATTGTTCGCAGAGATAACCTCTTTATTCTATATTGATATTGATAAGTATTTTGGCATTTTGTGATAAAAATATTCATAATCATCGAATTATTAAAATGAATTTATATATATATACTTATATATATATATATATATATATATATATACACTTATTTACGTACCTTTTTTTATTATTGTTTTTAAATATGAATATATGTGTATTGATATCACACACACGAATTATATAAAATATAAAATTATAGATTGTTTCTTTTTGTATGTTGGGAAATAGAAAATATTACATATTATAGAAAATATAATTTTTTTTTATATGTCTACATATATATTTTTATATATCTATCTATTACACAATTCATATATTGAAATTCAATTTATTAAAATTTCTATTGCAAGCTACTTTAAAAGTTAATTGTGTTAATATCCTAAATCTTAAACAATGTTATAATGTTATTAGATCATTCTACAATCCTTATCAGCAATGAATGAAGAAACAAATATAGATGTATCCTATTTGAGTTGTGATGTAAATGGCACAAAATATATTTACAAAATTGCGCCATATTCAATGGACATGATAAAAGATACAACCTTTAGTGAGGAGCAAAATACAGATAATATTATGAAGGAAACTAAGCTGGAAAATGAAGAAGAGTTAATTTCTTTGGTTTATTTGAATGGACAAGTATATACGTTTCAAAATGGAGCACTTCAGTTGGATACAAATCAGATTATAGAACAGACAGATTTTCATGAAAAAGCACTCTTAACGTCAAAGAATATGGAAAATTGCGAGAATGAATGTATCACTAATGGAAATATAGTAGTTAAAGATACATATGAACATTCTGAGGAACAATATGAAGTTGCTGCAGAAGAAACAAGGAAAGACTTTGTTATAGAAGATGATAATGTTAATATTGATGATTTTATAGAAATTGTAACTGCTTTTAAATGCAAGATATGTGCTTACATAACTCAAAATAAATTTCAATTATTAAATCATATTCAAAAAATACATTTAAATTCTACTATGGATATTGAGGTAAATCTCTAAATTAAAAACTGATTCATAATTTTAATAAAGACAATAAATTTATAATGCAATATTATTTCTTTTTATACATATACAGCCAAAAGAAGAATCTAAAAATACGAATGAAGTAAGAATAGTTTACATGTGTGCGGAATGTTCCAACTGTTTTCCTTCTTTTGAGGATTGTAGAGAACACATGATTAATGTAACCATCTCAAACTGAATTTTTTGAAATGTAATTTATTTTTATCTAGATATGATAAAATATGTTTCTTTTAGGATCATCAATTAACAGATATTGGAAGCGATGAAGCAGGAAAAGAAAATTTAACCGGTCTGACGAACCCTGACTTAATAACTGAACATGTAGACCAATCTAGCGAAAATAATGAAGTAGATCATCCAGTAAAAATTCCAAAAACATTAAGCTTAGAATATACGCGTAATAAGAAAATGAAAGAATTAACAGAAAGAAATGTGAAGTATGTTATTTTGTAAGAAATATATTTTATAGAGATATGTCCTTTTATATTTATTTTGTTTGAACTTATGTAATCTTTGCAAGGTGTTTGTATCAGAGTTGTCCATATAAATTCGCCTCGGAAGAAATTATGCAGCAACATATTCTATGTCACACAGAATCTGAAACTACGACAAAATTTAAATGCAGTGTATGTAGAGATATAAAATTTACGAAGTGGCGCCAATGTAGTTTACATTTGTGGAAAAAGCATCAAATTGGTTTGTACATAAAACAAAAAAATAAACAGTGTATAAGTAGTTAAAAAAAATTTATATTAATAAAATTATTTTTATTTAGATGTAGGTCTGTTTACTTGTAAAATATGTGAAGCTTACAAAAGCGCTAGTATGGTAAAACTTTTAACACACATGAGAGTGCATAGTGATACTCGTGATTACGAATGCCCCGATTGTGGGAAATGTTTCAAGCAAGCTAGTCAATTGCGCAATCATCGTGTAATGCATTTAGATCGCAAAACCTTAGAAGGTACTCGATGGTATACTTCTAAGAAATGCGACATGTGTGGTAAAACCTATGCAAATTCAAAATGTTTAAAGAATCACATTCAAGCCGTGCACTCGAAGCTACGTCCTTATGTTTGCAATGTTTGTGGTCACTCTAGCGCCAGGAAAGCGATGTTGCAAATGCATTTACGTCAACATACAGGAGATAAACCTTTCAGATGCGAAATTTGTGAATATAGAACTGGAGACCATAACTCATTACGACGGCATATTATGCAACATACGGGTAAGTAGTATACTGAAAATAGATTAACTGTATATAATTATTGCATATACACTTACTATATGCTTAAAGTGCAATTTGATTTTTTACCACAGGATTTCGACCTTATAAATGTCCACATTGTTCATACACTGCAATACAAAGTAGTAGTTATAAAAATCATTTAAAATCAAGGCATCCTCTACTCTCTGGCTTATTTACATGCGATCTATGTCCTTTTAAAACAGTGAAAAATGAAAGCTATTTTCAACATGTACGAGATCATGAAAAGGGTTTAATAAAATCTAATATGCAGAAAAAAGGTAACACTAAAAATTTGCTAAACTGCATGCATGTACTCTCTTTATAATTTGATGAATCTTTATTTAAATTTCTTTATTACTTTACAGATAATGAGAATGTAGAAGTCTTTCCCGGTAACATTGCGGCAGCGCAATTAGTTTACAGCTGTCTGGGTGCCTTTTCAAAAGATGGGGATACGTTAGAAGCTAATTTGATGTCTTCCTCAACATCTGCTGATGGTACTTCGCAAACAATCACGATACAAATACCATCAAAACATCTCGAGGGTTCATTATCAGCAAGAGAAAGTTTAAGCAAAACTAATTCTACAATTGAGCAAGAAGATGACGAGACGATGCATTGCTTCTTAAAAATTCCTAGAGAAGAAGAAGAAAGCATAGATACTGGTGGTATTACAATACCTGCAGAACCTGAGGAAAGAAGTGTGAGGAACATTAATATTGAAGACACCAGCATGACAACTAGTGATATTGAAGAAACAAATGTGACAACTATCGATATAGATGCATGAAATTATGTAAATAATAATAAATTAATAATTAATGTCAAATTAATAAAATGATCTTCAAAACCATTATTTTTTTGTGTTAAAGATTTTAATTTATTTTATCAGATATATCATATTCTTGTTCTTTTTCTGCAGTAAACATTAGATATTAAAATTAAAATAAAAATTAAAAATCAAACTTGGCAATAAATCTGTCCATAATTTTATAAAATCTTAAATATTACAGTTTTAAAGCATATAGTATCATAAAGTATGCTTTTATTTGTAAGTATATTTATTAATAATTAAAATTATGAAAGTACTCTACTACATAAAAAATGTAAATTAATAATCTGAAAGTTATAAAATGTAAATTACATTATTCTTTCGAGTATTTCATTTTACAGTAGAATTAAAATATTTTTGAATGAACGAAAATGTAATAAGATTTTGATTCTGATAAAACAAGGTAAAAACAACTGATATAACTGAAATGTAAATTGAGAGTTTTTTTTTCTTCATTCTTCTTTTAAATTATATTCTGGCCAATTCACCATAATAAGCTGTACAAGCTGTAAACCTGCCATTGAGCATATTTTGCTGAAGTTCCACCTTACCATACTTTTCAGCTAATTTGATAATCTGTAATTTCATTTATATCTTTGATTAACATACAGCAAAAAGGATACCTTTTTTATATATTCAAGTACAAGCTATAGTATAATTTCAATTAAATTACTAATTATAATTGAAATTGTTTACCTGTAGAGGATCTGAATTTCTGGGTAAGTAATAGGCCACATGTTCCGTAATTTCCTTAGCTGCTTTAAATACATTTATCCCACCAACGGGAGGCATGATATCTTCAAGATTGAACACTTTTCTTTTTATATAATCAGGACCACCCCACGGGGGACTTAAAAATACAACATCCGCCACCAATTGTGGTGCTAACTGCAGGAAATCTCCAGTAATAAATTCTATTCTGTCATCTACACCATAAATTCCTGCATTATGTCGAGCAATCTTAATTTTATTGGGATCAATGTCTATTGCGATCACTGTAAAACACAATTTATAAATTTTTGTTTATCTTTGTAGATCTTTATGTAATATAAACATACCTCTTTCACATGTAAATGCAAATTGAATAGAATTACTGCCTGCACCACAAAATGCATCAATGATTGTATCACATCTGCATCTTTCTGCTATGTTTTTTGCTATTTCTTCTGGTGTTACAGAAAACCAACTTTCTACAAAATATATAATATTATCACCTCATACGCACAAAAAATGTAATTTTTAAAAAATATATATAGAATGCTTACCACGATCTAATTTAATTCCATCTTCATATCTGCTAAAGAGACCAAATCGTTTGATATAATATTTCCATAGTTTATAGTCATTTGCTATTTCCTTTGGGAGGATTTTGTTTAATCTTTTAACCTGCTTCTTCTTCTTTTTCTTCTGCATTTTTTTTACACTATCTTCGTCGTCAGAACTTGATGTGAATGTAGCTTGTGCTTTTGCGTAGGAACCTTTGTCACTAGACTGTACATCAATTTCTGCAGGTACCGATGATAAATCACAGGATAAATACTTGTTTGTCTATAATGAGAAACAAAGTACTTGAAGTATCAATAATAACTAACTTATAAATCACATAATCATTGCACATGTTAAGCGGCGCGTGCGCGCACGTGGTTGTCTTACAATGAGTCTGTTCTCTATAGCTGAACTGGCAACACTGTGCTACACTAGTTCAGAGGCTATCCTTTTTACTCTACATTGGGAGAAAAAGGATAACCTCTGAACGAGTGCAGCCAGTTCAGCTATAAAGAACAGACCTAATATAATTGAGACATACATTTCACAGAGGTCGTTTTTCAAAAAGAGACACAATTGAAACTGTATTATTTCATTCTTGATTGCCGAATGTAAACAAGGATGAAATGATTCATTGTCCTCTGTGTTGCTTACTGAACAACAGAAATATACATGTACGAAATATTGATATAATAAATTATAAAAAATTAATATTGTATTATATATAAGCTAATTATTTAAATACTTATATTGCATAGTTGAAAATTTCAGTGTTTTCCAATTTAATATATATAATATTTTTATAATCTCTAATACTCTTTCAGAAACTATGTATGTCCTTTTAGCCTCTATCATAACTAGACATATATTTGCAAATCTAGATACATTAAAAAAATAAACAATCAAAACTTATTTTACACTTAAAAGTATAAAAAACAAAAAATATATCAAATAACTTTTACCTTATTTGTAGATTTGGTAATCATTTCTACATCATGAAAAGTAGTTTTGTGCGTAGTTTTTAATCGTTTAAGTTCTGCCATTAATTGAAAACTTTGCCGTCTAATATTACGTTTCCGATAAACAACTTCGCCTTGCAATTTTTTTTGGCTTTCATCTTCACTTAATATACCATAACCCATTAATGAGAAAGCTTTTTTCACAGTTTCTAAGCCATCTTCATTATCATTACAGTTATCCTCATGACTAAATAACAGAGAAAAATGAAAAATAAAGATTCATTGTATTTTGTAAAAAAATTATTATTACTGCTATATAGTTCTTGTTTTATTATTAAGTACATACCTTTGTTGAACTTTTTCATGAAATTCATCCCGTCCATCAGAAGACTTTTGTTGATGATTATTATTGAAATTATTATTGGAAGATACTATTTCTGCTTTGGTTTCTGTAATTGTTGAAACTTGAACATGAGTAATCTGTTGCTGTTTTTCACATGGTTTTTCTTCCTCAACTATATCAATAGACTCACTTTCTTCTGTCTTTATTTTTAGATTTCTCATAAGCATACCCACTGAATCTATAATTAGCCTTTGTGTTTTCGATTTATTAGATTTTAAATATGATGCATTATTTCTTTTTGTGTTTTTATTTCCAGATGAATTTACTTTACTTGATGTAATTTGGTCAAACTGTACAACATCCGTGTTCTTGTCCCTTCGATTTTTGCGGATACCAATCCCTGAAACTTCCTTGCTATCTATATTTTCTTGTTGGAGAGTTACATTATCTTGTTGAACTATAATTGAATTTTCAATTGGTTCATTTAATATGTTAAAATATAATTGATCACAATCTGTATTGTGCTCTTTTTTATAATTAGCTATGAATACTTCATAATTTTTTTGATATTGCATCTGAAAATTTTCTTTCCACAGATGTTGCCAATATTTATCATTATCTTCCACTGAAAATTCATTTTCTTGATCAGAACTGCTACTGGTTATACTACTCTCAATGGAACTTGTAACAGAAGTAATGAGACTAGACGAATGAACAGAATTGGAATCGCAACTAGAACTAGTTAATGTCATTTTGGTAACATTTGTCATGGAATCAGAAGTCGCATTTGTTTTTGCTATCGAACCACTAATAGAGTCGCATCTCGTTAATAATCTCTCATCTTCTGCATTAGAGTGTTGATTATAATTTTCTTCTATACTGAATGGACTTAAAGGATTCCAGCCATCGGCATCTTCTGGTGATATCTCGAAATTGATAATTTTCTTCCTATTTTCATCTGCATCTTTGTCATTAACTTCTTGTCTACCCATTTGTTCAAATGAGAAACTAGTATTCGAGGAAGATATTGCTGCTAATTTTAATTCGCCATCACTTGAGTTACTTTTATTGAAAATTCCTGCAAAGTTAGAACGTAAAAGTTCGCAGTTTTTGTGCGCTTGATTCGGGAAGCATGTATTTTGCTCAAAATATTTTTCTATGACTACTTCATTAATTTCAGCATCCTGTGACTTTTCATCTTCCGTTATACACGTATCATTCTGAAAATAACCAGGATTGATATAATCTGCATATTTTTCGATCCAAGATGCCCAGATTAACTGCTCTCCATTTTTAGCCCAAAATTTGTCCCATGCTATATCCATTGTACTCTTATTATTTCCATAATATGCAGAATAAGGGTAGTTATAAGAATCGCAATCATATTGCATAAAAGAAATGAGATCTTTGTTGTGCACTTCTTCATTTGACATAGTAATACTATCCGATAAACTTTGTGCCATTGATTCCTTGTCATCTAAATAATACAAAATATATTTGTTCTTTTAATTAAATGGATTATAAAATTTAAAATAGTCTTTTAAAGGTTTCTGATAATGCAATTACCTGGTATTTGTTGATATTCAGTTACCATATCTACATTTTCATAATTGTTTTCAATTTCAGTCTCTGCAGTTTGAAAAGTCTTTCCATAGGATGCTACAAGATTCTGTATACTTTTTGCTTCATGCTGATCATGATATTCAGAGAGATCTGCACCAGAATCTGACTGATGTAAACCCAGTTTTTGGGTCAAGGAATGTGCAGTTGGCCAGTGAGCAGAGTCACGTACAGAATCATGTTCATCTGTAGAGTAATTGTTATCTGTGTGAGATGCACTGCAATAACAACTTACTGGTTCTTCCTATATCAAAGAATTGACAATTAATATAAAACAGTAAATATAATAAATGTTAATTGCCTATTTGTTATATTGTATATACATGTTAATAAAAGACAAGCTATCATACATCATGTTTTTCTATGGATTGTGTCTCAATTGCAGATTCTTTGTAAAGATCCAACATCTCTCCGACATAATCTCCATCAATATCTTCCCCTTCGCTGGCATCTTCTGAAGCTAATACTGTATAAACTTCAGGGCTCCTAAAATGAACAATAATATATATAAAATACAAATTGTAATAGATATATTCACACATATATACTTATAAAATTGTTTTCTATATATTATAAATTAATATAAAATTATGAATAGAAATTTATCTCATATAGTTTAAAGTGAGCTTAAAAATTACAAATCATTTAATATAAAAATATATTTCCCAAGCGTTGCGTGTGTGTAGAGGTAATTTTAAATTCTTCTTTCTTTCTGTAACAACTGCATGATAGATAATATTGCAATTTGATAAGATTTTGTAAAATTTATTCATGAATAAAATAAAAGACAAATTATCAATTAAATGTTTTACATTTTTAAGAATTCATCATTTTCTAAATTCTATAAAATTTTGTCAAATTATAATATGATAGTATGATGCGTTACATGATTACCATTAAAAACATGGAAAAAAAGGAGAGTTTGATAGAACGATTATCTTATTGATTTCTGAATTTTAATTATTCATAAAGCGATATAAGAAAATAGTATTCGAAAAATTGACCGCGAAATCTTACTTATCGCGATGAAAGAGTGGGTGTCAAGGTTAAATCATGTTTTACACCACTGATCAATAAGCGGGTTAATACTTTACAGAGTCTCGCGTGTCTAATAATTATATGTGGATGCACCAAATATTTTGCTTTCAAAAGAGCCAATAAGTCGCTGAGGAAAAGGTCAGGCACAATCGACTTCGAGAAGCACACACGCTTACTTACCGGATAAATACTCTACTGCAAAGACAATAAATGTAATCATCGGGATCGGAGGACTCCTGATCCGCGATGTATATTTCGGCTAAGGGTTCCCAAAGATTATCGCACATCCCGAAGACGGAGTCCTCTCAGTCTCTCATCAATTATCCTCAATCGTCACAAATGCAACATGCCTCATGCCCAAATTTTCACGACCACCGCCGCGCGAAAACAACCCACCAATTTCTTTGACGATACAACATCGCGAGGTTGATTAATCCTTGGTAGGCCTGTCTGCCTTAAGGCCCATTCATACGCATGTACAAGCAGAGAGACTATCAATCCATGTGTCTAGTACGATGAACGCAGCATCCTGTGAATTAAACATATGATTCATTGATTTCTTTCAATGCATCAGGTGATCATTCATTAAAGTTTAAGTCTTTAATATTTTACTTGTCAATGGCTGCGGTCAAGATTGCACTATAAATGCTCCGAAACATCATTCTATCTTTATTCTCATGGAATGTAGAACAAAGATAGAATGATGTTTCAAAGCATCCAGAGCGTCTTCCCGACCGCAGCCAATACAACAGATGTTTGGCGCACTGATTGGTTGTTAGCGCCATTATAACTGTTGTCTGTGGATAAACCTTTAACTTTACGCAATTTTATACTACCATCATGCCAATTATCGCAATTATCAACGATCGGTTATGTTAAAATCCTCCCATGGAATTGTGAAATTTTACATGAGACGGGCTATCTTTGATAGTATTTTATCTATGCTTGATTATTATTTTTTATTTTGTAACGTTGATTATGAAGCATATATGTAATGAAGTTTTTCAAATTGTCCCATTCATAAAATTTTTACTCTTTCATAATTTTTTATTTGTAAATACAAGTATCATAAGAAATTAATTAAATTTAATATTTTTTTCGATAGCGACTATATCAATTTTGTTCTATGACATGATAAGTTTCTATTCATATTAACAAATGTATTAATATTTATCCGTGCATTAACACATTTGTATATTTTAGCACAAATAATTTGCGACTTTCTAAACATTGATTTGCGAGATACCAGAATAATTTTGATATAATAAAATGAAAATTATCGACGTATACGAAACCTTTCTACCGGAACCTGGCGCCATCTGGAGCAAGTTTTCAATTCTAGTCCATTTCTACTTTGAAGCGCGCGTCACACATCTTTCTTCTGTCTCTGAAAAATTTAGTGAAAATTTACATTCTTTGTGAAAATAATAAGTTTCTTGTTTTGTTGAGTAAAGCATTAATGAATATTACAAAAAGGGAATCATAATCAAGCTTGGATGGGTATGTGATTTTCATTATATTAACTTTTTTCAGTACTAACAGATACTCGACATATCTATCTTTAATCTGAAATTGTCGATTGTTGTCGATGCGCGTTGACTAATTAAAAGGATTAAAATAATAATTATCTTTCGAAATCTTTTAAATTTCGTTAAATATTTGAAACAAAATATATCCAATAATACCGTAAAATATATAACAGTCATGTCTGAATTTTTTAACAATATATGCGACCCATTTAGAAATATTATCTTGATATTGTTATTGCATAAAAACATCTTCATGTAATAAATTTAATCACGCGTTTCTTTGTTCCAGATGAAAGATAGCCAACGAAAATTCATATATTGCGATATCGATTATTCGGTCTAGCATCTGTGCATCGATACAATGAACGGGCGGGAAAATTATTTGTCGGAATACCCGACAGATAACGCTATCTCGCGGGATGCTGCAAAGTCTCGCTCGCGTGAACGGAGCAATGGCGTAGGCGGTGATCCATGTGATAAATTAATTTTTATTACTTCGTGGGTGGCGGCTCTTTCTATTGGTCGCCGATCGGGTACCTCCTACTTCGCACAATGCACCGGGACCCTCTCCAGCTTTATTTCGCGCAACGACGGTGATAGAACGGCATACCATTTGTCTCGTCTTAAGACGAAACAAAACTCAACGAGGGAACCAATCGCGATATTGCCGCGCAGATTGGGAATTGCATGCGGCGGCGACCGGCCGGGAAGGATATTCATGCAAGGGTGTATTACACAGGTATTTCTCCGCATGAATCGGTGAGTCACGCATGATTAAATTTATTTATGCGATTGCCCGTACAAAATTTACGATCAATCGGAGCGTTAACGATATTTAACGTGCCTCGGATACAACTGTAAGGAACAGCAAGAAAAGCAAACCGTAATTGCCATCGCGAAAAGTCGTAGGTTAATGATAGTAATCATTATTAATAATAATTGTGTAGATAATTATTATAATACTGCTTAAGCGAACATCCATGAGTCAATGACAAAAGCAAAAAGATGCGTAAATTATCAATTTACGTTCATGAACGTGACACAGTCAAGCTTATATTTTTCAAAAAAATGCATCTGGAAAATAATAAAAAGTATTTTTGTAAGAAAGTGATAAACTGTATGCTCGAATTATACGCACTTTCCACGCACGTATATTGAAGTCATTGACACACGCATTGAAATCACCAAGCAATCCGCGGTTTTATACGTTATTCGTATTTCCTTTTACATGTCTTTTTATTAATAATCTATAGTTATGTTATAATTATCGTGCAAGTTTCCCCCAAATATCTGATTTGATATAATTTCATGTTATAATTCTATTCTAAATATTACATTAATATGTTGTGCTAAAACGATCTGAAACGAAGCAACAAAATCTGTCGTATTAAGAAAAGAATTGCATTCAAATTTTATGATAGATGTTACTTTGAATTATAATAACCAATATACATAATTCATATTTTTAGATCTGCATTTATAAATCTTAAAGAATAGCGGAAAAGATATAAAAAATTAAAAATATTGACTTGTAACGACATTTCGTAACTGTATTTGCGATCATAGCGTGAACATTTGCAGTTTCAAGTTGTAATCACGATTGCGTTTACTCAAAGCCGCACCTGTGGTAGCCGGTTGTGTAGTAGGTCGTGCGGAAAAAAGATGCACAAGCAATAAAGTACCCTAGTATACGATGTGGTAGTGCTTTCTTCGATTACGTTTACGAGGTGGCTGACTGCTAAAGTTACGCGAATCACCGTTAAACGTTACACTGCACGCTATGTTTTACAGTGTCAACGCAATTCCTGCATCTAAACTTTACTCCCCTTTGACTTAATCTAATAAGATACAATATAAGCTGTGATATTTGTCAGATTATTTCGCCAAAAACTTGCACAGTAGGCAAATATCTGATTTTTAGCAGAATTTGTGTAATATTTTTAGAGATTGAATATAAAATATAGAAACAATTACCGGGCTGACGAAATGATTCTTTTAACATCTCAAGAGATGATATTAATAGAATTAACTTTGTGTATGTGTGGGGGGGGTGTCATGATCATGACGTATCATAATGTATTTACTAAATTATATAATTCAGATTGTCAAAAATGTGATGAGAGTGGAATCTCTATACGAATATGTTGAAATACAAATTTATATCTTATCGTACTTTTGAATGTAGCTTGCTAGAAACTTTCTATTTGATACATAATTAATTCTTTCTATCACGACTTACGAATTATATAAATATTTAAAGAATCGTGCATACTATATATAGTGTATATCATACTATATATCAAACTATATATAATATGCATGATTCTTCAAATATTTACATGGTCATTTGTAAATCGTGATAAAAAGAAATAATTTTGTGTGTGTGTGTGTGTGTGTGTGTGTGTGTGTGTATGTATATACACACACACACACAAAATAGATTGAGATAGAGATTAATGAAATACAACATTAATAAGCTTAAACTGATTACTAAATATTTCATTTTGTTTTCTAATAAATCATCACCAATTCGAATGCCAATTTGAAGACTATGTATAGTTTGATTATCAATTTAGTAATACCACTAATATATAAAAATATTATAAATTTTCCTACGATTTATATCTTATTTTCAACTTGAGACTTCTCGATATATCATCGTCTCTAGATCCTTTCCATTTTTTATACGCAAGATTCTCTTATTCGCGCAGGACGAATCAATGTCTTCATGCGGTAAAAAAATTTAGCGATTCTGCAATTTTCCAACAGAATCGCGACATTATAGAGCGAAATAACATTCTCTGTCGCGAATCTGCATAAGATACCGGATCGAGCAAAAGGAGGGTTGTGTATGGAATTAGAAGGAGAGGGAAGCGTGCATACGTGTGTCGTCTCTTCGGTCGCGGGAGAATCGCGGCTCCTCGCGAGAGGATCAGGTTGTAACTGGATGGTGGTGGAGAGAGACGAATGCAAAGCGGATAGACGGCGCGAGACAAAGTACGAAACAAACAGCTAGAATGACGGAGAGGAACGAGCGCGCGAGAACGAGCGAGAGGGAAACAGCTGTACCGTGTTACCTCCACCGTGGTGCAGAGACGGATGCTGCGTTGAGTCCATGAGGAATAGTGGGGGGAGGAGAAAGAGAGGGGAGGAAGAGAGATAGACGGGAAGGAGCGAGAGCGAAGCAGCGAGAAAGAGATGAGCGTGAGAGAGATCGATCGGCGAGGTGTGAGGAAGACGGCGCGCTCGCAAGAAGGCCGCGGTAGTCTTTCTCAGCTGGCTAGGTGAGATAAGGATGAGACGGACAAACGGATTGACGAAGGTGCCTAAGGTAGGGGATACTGGGGGATACTCAGTCTGGCGGCCACGTGCTACACGAGCGCACGCCCCGAGCCGGCCGGCGGTCCAGCCAGCCATCCACGACGCCGTCCTCTTCTTCTTCGTCCCCGTATCATCCCGCGCGTTTCCTCCCGTTCCTCCCATCCATCCAGTTTATTTCATCTCTTTTTTTTATTCAACTTGTGACGGAAATCGTCGAAAAGTCGCGCGACGTAGTCTCGAGCGCGAGCAAGCACGCGATCGGTGTGATTCTCCAGCGTACGTTCTGAAAGATTGAAGAGCACAGTGATATCGAAGAAAGATTCGAAAAAAAAGAACACTTGGTTTTTTGTGATATTAGTCGATCATCTGATGCGCGGCGAGTATCTTTGTACCTTGATCCTTTCCGACAGACGATTACGATTTTTCTCTGTCGAGGGATATTTTTCACGCGAGTGTACATCGGTTTGGTGTAATAACGTTACCGCGACGAAACGACTGCGCACCGTTTAATAATACAGTGCGTAGATGAAGAACGTGCGCCAATGTGTGTTTTCTGTGTTGGAAAAGAGCAAACGACTGATAATGCGTATTGTCGCGACGGACTGACGCGCTTATAAGCGCGACAGTGCGAAGAATTGACTGAACGAAGGATTTATATTAAGGAGTGTGTGCGTTTTGAGAAGAAAAGGAATAAACAGAAATAGTGGAGAATTTTGGTCAGGTATGTGTTGCATACAGATTTTTCCCATTCACACAATCGGAAATTCACTAGTCGGAGTTATAGGCGGATCTAGCCTTAAGAAAGAAAATCCTTTTACCCTTTTTTTGAAAAGAGAATCATGAAAACATTCACAAAAATATGTTGTTCCTATGCATCACGTATATTTATTTTCATATTTTTTTATTTATATATCTATTGTATATTCTCGAGCGAAACGAAAAATCTTATGGACTTTATAGTTCTATTCAGCTAATTAATATATTTCTGGAGAAAGAGAATAATTCCAACTTCTCGTCGCAGATCCGTTTATGATTAAAGCTCTTTTTTGTATTCACAATGTTATTATAATAATATTCGCTAATGATTATATAAAAACAATGATAATGAAATGTTTAAAAATTTGTATAATATGTATTCTATCGCATTTTTATTATTTTATTCATCTATATATTTTTTGTTTATATTTTTTAAACGATACCGCCTTTCCTATAATTTCTAAATGTTAAAAGTGAACATGGTGACTTATTGCTCAAACTCAATAGCTCTTTCTTCATTCGGATATTATCTTAATTATTCGATACGATTAAATTTTCACTGACATTCGATATAATCCTACTGGGAAATATTTTAGGGGCGTGCCACGTAAAAATAATCAAATTTATCGTTCCACTCGATTATTTATAATATAATTTTCTGTTATTTATAATATAATTTTATAATGTGAATACCGTGTTTTTTATTTCTCACATTTATCGAGCAGCAGTTGAGAATCGTGAGATTACACTCCTATAACGAATTTCAAACATATAGTGTCACTTGCCAATAGCGTAATCTCCTATATTCCAATCAATAAATAACAATATCTCTCGCGTGAGAAAGACCTTTTACTATACTATTCGTCGAGATGCTCGCCACTTTGACGCTTGATCAATTCCTTGTAATGAAATCGAATTACGGTTGCGAATCAACGATCAAGTGTCAGAAATTAACTGTAATTCAACTCATTACGTTAGACCTTTAAAGCGGAAATCTGTGCTATGAATAATTAGAGACTTAGAACTTTGTAATTACAATGTACGGCATGCCATATTTGACCTCAAATTCGCAAATGGAAATCCAATCCAATTGATTCAATCGGTGCTTGCGATTAATAATGCCCGTGATCGCGAACAATTGGTTGAACCAGCAGCCGGTGCCGTTACACGAAAAATCGATTCAGGTGATTCGCAGCGGTTATGATTAATTTGTCACGACTTAGAGAGAGAAAAGAGAGGGCGCACCAATTTTAACTGTCTGCAGCCGGTGATATCCATGTGACGTGCCGCTCACAACCGGTTCATTAAAGGTGCAGTCCGCTCGTCACTCATTGGCTGCCACGGCTTGGCAGCGATCGAGATGTTCGCGCGCCCGCCCGAAAAGGAGAAAAGGAGTAAAAAAAAGAAAAGAGAACGGCGCGTATATTATATACACGGGTGATGCTTTTGACGCGAGTGTGTTTCACCTTTCAATCATTATTATTGCGAGGATGAGCAGAGTCGGCCGCCGATCGCGATCACCGCGCGTATCTGTCAGAAGTGGAGAAAAAATATTGTCGGGCAATCCAATTATTAATAGCGGGATAGAGGAGTGGCTTTCGCAAGGCGAGAGGAATCGATAGAAGAAACGACGAATTAATGACGAAATCAACGGTGGGAGATCATTTGAAATCGTTATCGAGGAAATAAATAAGTGTGCTTCGATAGACATTTCAATAAATTGCCGCGCGAACTTTCGCGAATTGATATATAGGATATCACGACCGTTCATAGAAGGATATTTCGTAGGTTTGGAAAGGTCGTATTTCTCATGTGGGATCCAAGCCGATAATTAATTCATAACTCTCAGTTCCGATCGAGCGAACTTTGGATCCGTGATGGAATGCGATTAATGCTTTAACGTGACGCGATCGAAATATTGGTTTAAGTGTCAAATGTCAGATCTTGTCGCTCGTCGTCACGACGAATAAATTGCGGCCATTTAATACCCACGCGCGGTACCATTATTTCTCACGACAGCATCACTAATTACACTTGATACCTTATTTATTTTACAAATTAAATTCACAATCGATATTATGATCCGTCGGATTCATAATGAAACTATTCGCGCAGTCATTCATTAGATCGCGCGAGACGACCGTGCCGTGTTCACGTTTTTGTAGGAGAAGAAACGCTTCTCTTTCCGCTGATTTCTTCAAGGAAGATCGAGGACACGGTCCGCGTAAATATCGAGATGTGGAATTCTTACGTCGCCCGATGACAGCTGAAACATATCGGCGGTGACAGCGCGCTGATAATAATTTTCAGAGCGAAGGCGTTCTTCAGCTAATGAAATATGTGCTCGTTAGGCGCAGCTCGAAAATACAAATAGGAAAAACATCTGATGATATGGATGATCAGTAATTGTTAACTTCGAAGACCGTGTGTTTATCACGCGCGTTACAATTGCGTTACCGCTGACTCGCGCGTTAATCCGCGAAAACAAGGATTCATCAGAGCCGAAGCATGGCAGAGATATTCAGGTGGAACCGGTCTTCCGCAAGCATATACGGCTCTTAATTAATTTGTCATTAGTCAACGAAGAAAGAGGTGCGCAATAAAATTTATCGATGTTCGAAGTATTATCGGATTTCTTCCTTTGTCGCGAAGACGATCGATTATGTCAATTTTAATACATAGACGTCTGCGAAAACAGATATGTTAGCCCATCGAAAATAATTATTTGCGATGATTTTTTGATCGCGCGAATAAAAATCATATCGTTTTTATATCGGATGATAATTAATTATCCTTAAAGATCACATGTAGAGTATAATCTTACATCATATTATAAACTATATATTGAGATAAGTTATAAACAGGAAAATTCTTCCCTAGTTAGTACCCCCCAATTACGTTCTAGATATAAATAGATTATAATAGTCACTCTTGTTATGAATTAATTATTAGAAGATAAAAAACATCTCTATTGTTTCGGATATATCAAAGTTCATACTTTAGTTTCGAGTCATCAATCAATAATTAAAGAATTTTATATTTTATAAAGCTTCATTAATTATAAACTTTATGCTTGTTTGTCGATTGTTATTAATGTTTCGGATTAAATGTACCAGTTCTCCTTGATACACGCCGCTCCAACTCTGCGATATTATAATAATGTGTTACAACTTTAGTATAATCGTGGCACTATAAATTCGTAGCATTTAACGCAATCAAATGTGCTTCAATTATAACCCATGAATATTTAAAATCTCATATATTTAAAATCTCTGTTGCTACAGATTCCCGCATGTAACGCGATCATGTTGCAAGTATAATACTCCGTGATCGAATAGATTAACTCGCTGCCGTACCAATTACTGCGTTCTTAATCGTGGCTTTGCGATTGACTAATAAAATCTCAGTATCCTCAATTAACATTTACTTTCGAATCATATCTCGAAACTAGTCTAATTCTCTAAAATCGCGTTATTTTCCACAATTTATTCCATACATCATTCTTCAGATTAATTATGTAGAAATTTAAACTCCGAATTATTTTATAATTCGTATGAATATTGATTTTCTCGTATTTATGACATTCGCAGTCCCTTTTTGAGTTGCTTGGAGTTGCAACGCGCGAGTTTATCCTCAATAAATTGAAATTAAATCTCGGTAATCACACATACACGTACACACACACACACATACACATAGACGTGCACGTCGGTTGAATTTCCATGGTGCGCATGGCGAAAATTAATACGTGGCAGCCTCTGTAATTAGCTCTCGTATTTATGCGTCTCTCGCAGGGCGGGCTGCGTTAACATGGTAATGGCGTTACATCGTTGTAAACACGACATGTTATCTCGAGCGATACATACCTGAGGGTCTCGCGTCCGCCGATCGCGATTTCGGGAAGAGAACCGCGTTCTCTCGCTTTCACGCTCTGCGACCTGCCGCTCGTATTCTGGAATAATTATTATATGCCCCGCTGATATGCCGCCTCGCGCGTTTATTCACCGTAAAAATGTCGCCTTAATAGTGGGAGATATCGGTTAGTATATTCTCTTGGTGTTTCTGTTGCGGAAAGGCGGTATCCGGTATGTGTGCTCGACACAAATATCTTGTCTTATGCAGTGTATTAGTGAATAAATCGCCGAATTCAAACAAGAATATTTGTAATATATAATGCAAAAAATATTCAGTCTTGATTTTTATTGATTTCTCTCAAGAACTATTTGCGTTTTTCGCAGTGGCAAGCGCGACGATACGGAAAAAGTGCACAAAATGTTGGCTCCCTGCGACAAACGAGAAGACGGCAGGTCGAGTTATAGGCCAGGACGGCTGACACCGAGGGATTAAAGGACGTCGAATGGATGTGGGCGATTTATCGGGCTCGGCAGGATTGATAGGGAGCGGATCCATCTCGGTTGCGACGGGTGTTGGTATTATCGCCAACACGACATCCGCCACCCCAGGGTGGTGGACGCCTACGTCGACAATCACCTCGGCAGCGGCCAACACCGACGTGGTGAGTTCCTTTCTCCTTAATACAAATTTCTCTCTCTGTTCAATTATTAATTTCCGTAAAAATTCGTTTCCCGTCTTCGTGTTAAAAATCGAACAAAAAAGAGACGTTACGTAAGTAAAAAATTACTTTTTATATAAATTTTATATAAATTATAATTTAATTATTTAAAATATTTTTTGTTAAATGATATATGTATAATATTATTAGAGAAATGGTGAAAATTACTATTTTTACGTAATAAATATCTGTATATTAATAATATAGAATCAATCATCTAGGCAAGAAAGTCAAGAAAGTTCGTATGTCACATGGCATTTACTATAAATTACGATTCTTTTTATAATTCAAATATGATATTTCTGTGGCATTTAATGTTTAATCACGGGTTTTGCGAATTAATTAAATTACAGTGTCTCCCACAAACTGATCGGATTAAAGACCTGGGTCACGCGAGTTTCTTTTCGTTGTTTTAAACTCGACAGTTGATTAATATTTATATAGACTGTACTATTCTGGATAAATTGCGTCGTCTGAAATAATGAAATTTAGAGCACTGGAAAAGAAGAGAAGCAATGTCGTTCATGTTTTGTAAAAAAAATCACATTACGACATTTCTGCTCGTTATTGAACGTCGTTTGTGGCGACACTTTAATGAGACGATTCTCACGCGTGGGACGTGGGTGGGCGATGGAAAGGATTCATACGGATGTGTAGCGATGTAGATTATCCGTAAATCGTGCGAGAAGCAGCACGACCGCGGGAGCAACGCGTTATTTAGCATCGTCGATGTGTGGTGGTCTGTGGCCGCGGGGATTAGAACCGAGGTGACATAGCCGCGTCATCTGTTGGACGTTTAACCTTTTTTGCCTCCTACCTCGGCTTGCACGTCGCTGCTCCTCGCCATCATTTCCGCGAGAAATCATCAGCCCGTACCGAGCATACGTTCCTAGATTAATGAGATCGAAAGTCGTTTTCGAATACCTGCGCGTCGCTGTAGGCCGTTTTAGCGTTCACGACGATCAGAAGTACGTTCGTCTGTGATATTTACGTATAAAGGCCGTTGCGATGAATTTTACACCATAAGGAAAACGCGCGAAGAAAAGCGAACGTTCGCCTTCTCGCACTCGCGCGAAATTACACGGTACGCACGTTTACCGATATATATATTTTACACGGTAATATATGTCTCGATAATATACTATCGAAATATCTCACAATTTAGGTCATCGTGTGGAAATCTTGCTATATATGCATAAGCGTTTCGTAATCAAACCGATTTCATACGCGGTGCAATAAACCTGATGCCTAAATCCGATCAATTCATTCGACGCATAAATTCGCAAATCACGCATTTACTCCGCGTTACATATCTCGGAATGGCGAAGCGCCATTAAACGCAGATGTTTATCATCTGCGGCTCGAGCATGTGTAAAATGTTAGCCGGGTATAAAAAATACATTTATAAAAATCATGGCTCGTAAAGTAATCGAGCGAGAGACGTTCTGTCTGGTAGCGCGCGACGCCTGCCTGTTGAATGAGCGAGAAGAAACTCGAACACGATCTACGGAAAGATCCACGGAACCCAAGAATCAAACGCGTTGCGATCGCCTTCGATTATTCCCGCTCGTAACGCGCGCGATCAATTTCTCGTCGCGTTACGAAAGAGCGGTCGTTAACTTAGTTCACCCTTTTCGTGTGGGAATCGGAGCCCGCGCGAATCACATCCTCGCTCTTTGCACGCTCACCCGCGTCCACGTAGTACGTAGCTCACGCTACGCAGCGTGCACGGTCCTCTCATCTCTGCGTCGCCTTTCTCGCAACCAAGCTGAGGATGCGCGGCGGAGCTGTGCAATCCGGTAATGACTGGCTAACTAGGTTTTAATAGGAACGCGGTTTCTCGCAGTGAAACCCCTCTCGATCCTCGCGCAAACATGGCAAGAAAAGGCCCTTTTTTTCTCTCGCGCGACGTCACCGTCGAGGATCCTCCAGACTCCAGATGAAGCATCGCGCATTGATTACCGATTGCGGATCGCATAATTCGACGAGAGATCGAATCCGAGAATATATCCGATATTCTTGGATAATCTTACATTGAAACGAAAACTAGGGAAATAAACTCTTTTTTTATTGATAAATGAATTATTTTCAATTTAGAATCTAATGTGATGTATGAAATTCGAATGTCTAAATATACACGACGAAAAAAAACAGATTCGCCATTTTCAATTTTAATGATATAGAGAGCCATTATATATGCATATGCATATGCATAAAATGATATTGTAATAAAATGATAGCGTTGTGATAATGTTTCTAAAGCTTCAAAAAATATTATGACAGAAAGGCTTTAAAAGGATCTTTTTTTAATTTATTTTATCATGTAACATCACATTGCAAACTAGCATTTCATATTAATTTTTTACAGAGCCTAATATAACGAATATAATGTTTGTTCAGACGAGTACTTGATAAATTTTATGACTCTTTAGTCGGCGTTCAAGAAGTTTAATAATTAATTGGTACTTCAAGTAAATTAACATCTTATTATGAAATGCAATTAATCATATTTATATATTAATGAAAACAGAATATATTTTAAATATTTTTGTGATATTAAATTAATAAATATATTTTTCAATATATTTTTAAAAATAATTCAATTACGATTTCAATAATAGTGCTTTGTACTGAAATAGAAAGATCCAACATATATCATGGCTATCCCTATCACAGTGCTCCTCGTTGTTCCGTATTGATCTCGCGTTTCGAGAGCGTGCATTAGACCAGGATCGAGAATCCTTTCGTGATTGGCAGACATTGTACGGAAATCAGGCGCGATCGTCGGGCACATTCTGAACGTTCTCGGATCCCGAGCGTAACCACATATCGCATCTTTTTGTTGCAGATGAATCAGCTCTGCAGAGTTTGCGGAGAGCCGGCCGCGGGTTTTCACTTCGGGGCCTTCACGTGCGAAGGCTGCAAGGTCAGTATCTTCGCACCGCCATTCTTCCACGGCTATTCATCCGTGTCGTTATTCTCTGTATAATAAAATGAAAAAGAAAAAGAAGAAAAAAAAAGACGACCCGCGATTATTACGTTTCTCGCGCGACGCGAGATACTTACGTTTGAAATTACGTAAATCGCGTAGAATCACAGCGAGACAAAGAGTAATAGTGTCACAGACGCGATTGTCTTTTGTAAATCAGACTGTCGACGATAGTTCATGATGCAAAGGTATCCCGATGCTAAAATTAGTCACCCGTAATTTACCGTTAAATTAAAAGTCGTCGAAACAGTTCGTTCTTCGAAGGTTTAATTATGTCTCACGGATGCGCTTGCTTTTACTGTAGCTTGCAAACTTTCCGACAGTTGAATCTAGTTTTTTTACTAATGGATAATTGAATGTTTTATTTCGATGTGTTTCTCCCTGCACATCTGGTATGTAATCGAGCGAAAGTGCAAATCGTTAATCGATTGCCATTCATCAATGTGCGCATCTTTCGCTTTCTGTTGCACAGTCCTTCTTCGGGCGTACTTATAACAATCTGGGCAGCATATCTGAATGCAAGAACGGCGGCGTCTGCGTGATCAACAAGAAGAATCGTACCGCCTGCAAAGCGTGTCGTTTGCGGAAGTGTCTGATGGTGGGCATGTCTAAGTCCGGCTCACGTTACGGCCGACGCTCCAATTGGTTCAAGATACATTGTCTGCTGCAAGAGCAGTCTCATCAGGCGCAAAACCGTCTGATCAAGGACCCGAAGTCCGCGTACGAGAAGGCGTTTGGCTCTTTGGACGCTGCGAATAACAACAACAATAACAACAACACCGAAAACGTAAGTAATACCAGCGCTAGCAGCGTCGTCGGCATCGTCACCACGGCGACCACTACGGCCAACAGTTACCATCACCATCTGCACCACCATCATCATCCGGACCGGTTGCCCAAGAGGGAAGACAGCGCGCTCAGGCCGCCGGATATGCCGGTGCAACTGAGGTCGCCGGAGATCCCACCAAGGACCAGCCAGGACGCGATTTTGAGGCCTGGTGATCTGCCGAGGGCTTCGCACGAAATGCTCAGGCCTGAAGTCTCGAGGTTTCCCATGTGGCGAGGACCGCCTTTGTTCCATCCAGCTCTCACACATATGCAACTGCTGAACACGCCATTCTTTCCCTTCCAGCAGGCACGCTTCATGGTACCTTACATGAATCAAATAAGTCCGCCGCAGATGGTGGCTAGTTTGTCAACCTCGTCTAGCGAGAATGTCAGCCCGCGATCGACCCCGTCTCCGACGAAAAGAAACGAGGAAAATCAAGAATATCGCGAGATTGACCGCGATGCCGAGAGTCGCGGCCAACGAGATCGATGTTTGAGGAGAGGATCGACAGAGATCGCATATGACAAGAGCCTAGCGTTTCTGCGATCTCTCGGACCGGAGCAGGAAGAACCGATGGATCTCAGCATGAAGGACACGCAGACAGATGGGCATGAAATGGCTGGTAGTATGGAAGAGGAAGAAGAAGAGAAGTCGAGTGACAGCGAGGACAATGAGCTTCTGCAAGATACCGGACCGCCCCTAGACCTCACACGAAAGACATGACCTCGGATATCAGACGATGCTCAATAGGTGTTTAATAGAAATTTGCTTCAATCGCGAAGAATTATCGTCGATGTCACTCGAAGTTCTCGAGGACGACTGAAAGAATAATGACGCAATATTGTACCAATGATGCTGATAAAGAGACGGAAGGCAGATCGCAGACTTGGTGGCGAAAGGGAAGAAAATAAACCTCCCGGAGGAAAAATGAAGATGGGTGGGAAAATAACGAAGAAGACGAAGAAAAAGCTAAAGAAAGGTGAAGTGAGGTGAAAAAGAGAATGGAGAAGAACGTGCGAGGTGCGGAGGGAGAGTGAGAGAAGGTACAGTTACATCGTAATAACGCGGCGAGCGAGAAGCACGGCCAAGTGTCAAAGGTGCCTTGGCACAAGAAACGAGAAGACGATCCGGGGTGGGGAAGAAGAGTAGCCGAATACGATTACGTTGGAACGACACGGGGGAAAAGCGGGAGAAGCGCGGGGGGAGAGTGTGCGGTCGGCCTAGATGTCGATGGAGAACAACAAGTGCCGCGCGTAGCCAGCCGGCATAAACGGCTTTATGATCGGTGATCGATGAAAATTGCTCAAGCCGCTCGGTATTAGTCCCTTTTGCCCAGCCGTATCTCGGCGACAGGTGAACGTCGACGGGACGAGTCGAGGACGCTCGCTCGTGACACGTCCTCTCTCGTCGAGGAAACGTACGACGGACGATTGTGCCTTACAAGCGGTGCCTTCTTTACAAGAAGAGTGTGCCGATAAGAAAAAAAAACAGTTTAACGCGATATATAACTATTCGCTGTGTATAGCGTGACGACACGCTCGGCGATGGCCAGTGAGTGCTTCGCGCGTGTTATCACGCCTATGAATTAATCGTTCGGCAGTATTCGAGGTCCGAACTTAACTGTTCGATCCACGCACGTGCTCGTTTATCCAAATGAAATTTGGCGAAATGAGTTCGATGTGATAGATCGAGTAAGATTGATTCGGGCATCGAATAGATTGTGATTCTACGCGTGAATTTCGAGTACTCTTAACTTAACTTATATTTTTTCGAGAGTCTCTTTTTTCGATAAACACAAGCGCGGCGAGATTGCAGTTGCGCTCAAGTACAAAAAAAAAGAAAGAAGGAGATGCATAGGAGATGTGGCAGCCACGACGCGGGCATCGTTTAAATGTCCGAGTCGAGAGTGCGACGTGAAATAAAGAATATTATATACCTGAATGTAACGCTGTTCATTAAATCCCTTCACACATGCTCATCGATCTTCCATCTTTCACGCGGGTACGTATACCGTTCCAAACTCGAGATGGTATTCGATTACTTTCGTCTCGCGCGTCTTTCAACATTTCTCGTCGCGCCGCTACGAAAGCGCGCGTTATAATATTATTACACATGCGCGCGTAAACGCGTATTATCGTACGTGCAATGTTATTTATCTAGCAATAAATTTGTCCGTCTTTGATATACTACGCAAAAAACTATCTTCCCGATAGTTTCACGCCGACGCGACGCGATGCTTCGCGGGAGAATGATGCGATTCCCGTCTCGAGAGTCGAGGACGTCGAAAACGCTTGACAATAAATTTTCTTAAAAGTTCAGCAATAAACACGCGAGTATATCGATCGTAAGGTTTCTCCTCCTAAGGTCGTTTGACCGGGTCAGCCGTTCCGCGTGCGAGAAAAGCTTCGGAGAAGACGCTTGACGAGCGAGCGAGCGAGCGACGTGCTCGACGGAAGTGCGTGCTTTTCACACGCGGAAGTTTTATTGCTAATTAAGTGACACTCTTTGAAAATCAAGGTGGGTTCCCGTCACCGCGTAATATCTCGCTTGTCCCGCTAATTTATGAATATTTGCGTCGCTGGTAAGATCCGTGCTGAATCTTCGAGGAGAGATCACGACCGGAATTCACGTTTCGCGACACGACTCGTTCATAGAGATTTGTCTTACAAGAAAGTTTTATATACCTGTGTTAGACCGCTGCTCTGTCTCTATGACCTCTTTTATAAGTATGCTAACGCATTCTTGACCGATGTGTTATTATTAGCGATTTCATGATGACATTATAATTTATGGTATCTTGAATGTTTTATTGCCTTATTGAAGAATATGAATATTTTGGTTGCGCAAATATGGTTTCAGAATTATATTAACGAAAGTATGCTACTCTAAATTATGCAAACAGTGAATGATTTTGAATTTCAGCAAACTATTGAAAACAGTAGAGTATTAATATCTATTTAAAATTCATGCATAGTCTCTAACTTCGCGAATACTTGCAAGGATGTTTCGAAGTCAGACTAGGACGTAATATGTCTGGTAATAGGGATTGTGCAACGCGAGACGTGCAAGTTCGCAAAATCATGTAAAGTTTGCCACCCGCGACACGAGTTCTCTGTCAATATTCTTAGGAACAAAATGGCCTTCCCTCTCAAATAACTCTTCGTACATATTGCGAGCAGGTTTTTGCATATATTCAACGAAAAAAAACAGACGATTTATGTCTCTCGTCGCGCAGAATAATTAGTATCGAATTTATGAATTGCTTGACGTGGTTCTCGAAGCGTACTTGTGTACGATTTCTAAATTACGTATTTCAATGTGTCTCTGTATTGCATAGGTGTAATAATATTAATTACTTTACTTTGCAATTTACATTGCCATCAAATTTCTAAATATTCCACACGAAAGCATACAATCTTGACAGACATACCATTCCCTAAATATAATATGTATAATCATTTTTAAATGCTCACACACACACACACACTCATCCTTTAATAAATTTTAATATGAAATTTATTAATTTACTATTTTAATATGAAAGAAAGAGAAAAATTGTTTTTAATTTAAAGATCATTTTTATTCTCATCTCGATCACGGATATTTTGTTGGATTCTTTAATCTATCACTATTACATTAAATTGAATTTTCGGTAAATTTTCGTGTTATTAACGTGATATTAAATAATATAATGGATACAGTCATTATTATTATTATTTAATTATACCAGATTCAAAAAGGTTGCGAATTATCATTAGCACAGAATTCTCGTGTCGTAACGAGAGCGAATAATATAGGACTCGTCAACAGAAGATTTCAATAATAGTTGCTACATGAAAATCATGTTTCCGGACTTCGCAGAACTTTCCCAATGGCGGCCATATATTCGCGAATGTTCATTAGTAGTATGCATGCATCTTGCCCCAGCAAAAGGAGTTCTGCGTGCACCTGCGTGTGTGTGTTCACGCGACACTCTTATATCCGTAATGCCGCGACAGTAAAATAGCGAGTTGGGTCGGTTTGTTGACTTAGGTGGGATAAGAGAGGCCACTCGATGTCCATCGCGCGGGCATTTCCTGTCGGACTCGATTCAGACATTCCAAGGGGCGGGGCATAAGAAAAATATATGACGATGACAATATGGGTCTGTTCTTTTCATAAGTTAGAAAGAGACAAACATTTCTTTCACACTCTAACTAATTGCACTAGTGCAGCAGTGCAGCTAAAAAGAACAGACCTTATATCTCGTGCACGTGTCTATTTCAAATTCTATCGAAACTCGATGCGCAATTCCTATTTAACTAAATATTCTTCATCTCAAACATTTTACGTAGATTTACGTAGATTTTACAGTAGATTACATATATTTATAATAAGAAATAGAAATTATTTTCTTTTGTGTTTAACGTTCCTAAGAATTACAATTTCGAAATAGCGAGAAATAATTACAAAAAAAGTAAAATAAACAAATTAGGAAAAATAGCAAGTGCGATGATTATAGATATTATTATATTGTTTAAATTGTTAGTCAAAATTATCTCAATTATTTATTTTCATAATGCACTGATTTAAGTAGGGATTTATGGAAAAATAGCATATATCTTTGGTTCAAAATTCCCTTCGACTTCTTTAATTTATATTTAACAAGTTTAAGATAACAACAAAAAATAAGAAAGAAGAAAAAATAGCTGGACGTTACAGATGATAAAGTAATGCGTATATCATATTAAATGGATGATCAAAATTTGTCAAGACATTCAAGGCGTATCTTGTATCAGGAAGATTTAGAAAAATACAGACGATCGATCGGTTTAATAGTTGTAATATCGAAAAGGACGCAAAGTGCACGTGTAAATCATTAATCACGTTTATCGAACTAATGTTGTCGAAGAATTCGATCGTTTAATCATCTTGACACCTTGTCGAACGTGATACTCAAGGATATCCGTTATTCAATCGTCCTTAAAGTCGTGTTAATACCTGCCTTCACTTTTTTATAAATTGTTGATTCATTTCATATTGAAACATGTACTATTATTATTCTATTCATACATATTTTTTATGCACTTTCCTTGCTGATATTGATCCTTTTAAAAATGCTTTTATGCGCGTTGAAAAGGCGCGTTTTTGCTTTATTAAATATAATAGCTTATAGTAAGTAATAATGCGTTTAACGCAAGGATCAACGTTAATGTCATCATTTTTATTTTCGTGCAATATTATTCTCGAAATTTACACTCCTTATATAAATTCTGCATTTCAATTATCGTTGAATATATAACAATTTTTTATGCCATATATCATGCGAATCGTAAATATTTTTCGCACATGTTTTTACGGTGCATTATTTATTCGTTATTGATGCGCGCAACGACGTTATAAATTATTTATCCATCTACTTATTAATTTGTTTATTTTCTTAGGAGATGTGTTTGTATTTTCATGTGTTAATAAATATAATTTAATTATCTTTGACGGCGCACGTATTGTGGAGCGTGCGATATATTCTATCTTGAAATTTAGACTCATCTTAATAATTCTTCTCTCTCTTGCATCATACCATAAGTTAGGCACATCTTTTGTCGCGCCAATCCTTTATAGCGGCGTACCGCTTTATTATCGCGAGAACAACGACAGCGACGAACCGTTCGCGACTCTGCCGAATTGTCTCTTTCCATTCGCACCTGCTCGAGTAATCAGGGTGTTACTAGCGTGTCAAAAAAAATATAGATCCTGTCTCGAGGTCACATATTATGCCATGTCGCCGGACACTAAAAATCGCGACCACGTCATCATGCGATCATTCGGAAGAAAGAGACGCATCTGATTTTTTTATGGCCGCCACTCGAGAACCGTTCGATCTCCAAGAAACATCTCTCAGATTATAGCATAATGGCGTGTTTGTCCATTGCCGAGCGTTCTCTTTTTTTTCCCTTTCGTCTCGCGTCTCCTAGATGGGTTACGTAAATCTCGACGAGGAAACTGTGCGACAGGATCGTCATTCGTTTTGTCGTAAATTAATAAAAGTTCTCTTCTTCTTTCTTCCTTTAAGAGTAAAAAAAGGGAGTGAGGAAAAATGCGGTAACACCGGAAAGGAGCGATAGATAGACAGACAGACAGACACAGTGGGAGAGAAGGCGGGAGCGGACGAAGCGATGAAGGGGAGAGCCCGGAAGAGAAGGACCGGTTGCTTGTTCATTGACGGCGCGAAGGCCCTCGCTCGTGAATGGTGGTGGACACTCGCGAGCCAGGAATAGGATCTTCTCTCGGCGGTCTCGAATTTTTCTACGTCGCGCTCATGAACTCACGCCACGGTCATGTCACATCGCGTTCCCGTCCTTCCTTTTCTCCTCCCCCTCACTCTGGACGTAGTTGTAGTTCGCGACGCTGATTAATGCGCGGATGCTGAGGACAATCTTGATCGAGTCCGGCGAGCAATCAACTTCGTCGCTTGCCTTGATTTCCGGCAGTGCCATCAACTACGTCCAACAATTGCGATTGTTTCTGGTATGATTCCTTTGAAAACTTTTTCTAATCGCTTCCTCTTCATACTCATCGAAATAATTTGCTGGAATTATGATTAATAACCAGACCTTTATCGAATAAGTGATTAATAATTTGCTGGAATTATAATTAATAACCACATTTTTATCGAAATTGAAGTACAAGCAGGAGATTTTTCAATTTCCAACGATGTGACAAATCGTCAGAATTTTAGATTTATTTGTAAAGACAATAATTTGATAGAATGCAATGTTTACAAGAAATTTTTAATCTTATTAGAATAAATCTTGCCTCTTTAATATTACAATAAATCTTTGCCAATGATATATTTTTACTTCGATCTCCGCATTGGATTAGCTGTTGATTGAATTAATATTCAATTCCGCGAAATTCCGAATAGATTTTTATTCGTTCTCGCTTCTTTTAATGATCGAATG